AAGGGGGTGTCAGGCCATGTCGTCATAAATCTTCAGAGCCCCACAATAAGCAACGCCATTTTCCAGACCTAACCTACCCTTAACACAAAGCATCCCTGAATCCTATCCTCACCCAAGCATAGAGCACACACCCTCTGCATAATATGTACTCAGGTTAAGGGGTGGCTGGCCCAGCTGGCTTGTAATGGCAGGCACCCCTGAGAGCCAGGTCCACTCAGTTGTCCAGCCCCTGACACTGTTTTACCAAGACTGTCTAACAATTTTTAACAGTTCCAGTGAGCCTGTAACTATACTGTTACCAACACCAGTACAAGTTCTGTGTGGGTGTAGGAGTGAAGGCAAGTCTACAGGCTCATCAGGTGGGCACCTTCATAGTACTGTATGTACCGGTGAGGTTCATCAAACAGACCACACACAGAGCAAGAGGAAGGAGACCAATGAAAAAGAGAGGAGAAAGAGGCAGAGGGGAGAGGAGTTAACAGTCTTGTTATCACAGAGCAATCCTCTGCAACTGTCATCCATAGTGTTCTCATCTCTCCTACAGGTTTGCTGTTAAAGTGAGTTTGGTTTATTTTCTTCTTATACAGTGTTTCCATCATGCCCCACTCCCTCTGTCATTCCAGTGTGACTGGCCAAACTGTAATAAAATGTTCAAAGGACATCAGAGAAGGAAAAGGACACTTGTTTGTTAGCCTAACAAAATCCCAGCAGCTACATAACCAGGCAGTATGTATGAAAAACGGGGTAACGCACTGCTTCAGTGCTGCTATGATGGCTTAGGGAAGTAGCCTAACAGCAGCCAAGAAGTTTTTGTCAGCGTCTGTGTAGGTCAGTAGTCAGTCAACCAACCTTTAACATGTGATTTCACTCTTCCTTATTGGCCAATTAAATCGCAATTACAGTGTTGTACCCGGTACTTTTTACCATGCTAACTGAGAGACGAGGCAGTCCAAGTAACTACAAAACAGTGCTGATTTATTCCATAAACACAGGTAAAAATTAACATTACACGCTCAGATATCTTGCACCTCCAAACTGCTCGCAGGCAGATGTAAGATGAAAGACCCTGAACCCACCAGGCCTATACATTATATCCCCTCGGTTGGGCTAGCCCCATACTACACAGAAACATCAACCGAGACGTCTCTCTTACCAGCTTTGCAGCTGGCTCTGGCAATAGTCAAAACATGAAGCAAATCAATGTGTGTGTGTGTGTGTCTGTTGGTTAAGTGGTGTGTAGCTAAAAACATTCTCACACGACCTCTAGTAACATGTCGTGACTTAAACATAAGAACATATTATGGCTAAGGCTACAGTTATACACGTCATAATAATAAACACCCTGTCTGCTCACAGTCATCAACTCTTCTCTCTAGTTATCCTTGACCAGATGTACCCTGTAGAAACTCATAAGCATGACTAAGCATTTAACAGTCTAACTAGACATCCTATCTCCACTAAACATTTCTAATACATAAAGTATCTAACCAATATCTATCTGACTAAAAATACCTAACAACAGCCAAAAATATGCAAAATACAAGAAAATAAAGTAAACGCAAAAACACAGGCACATAACTCGAAATAGCTTTGGCCAAATAAAAGAAAAGCAAGCAAAGTCAACACAAAAATAACTGTGTTCAACTGCTGTTTGCTAAAATTATGGCTTTGAAATACAAGAGTGGAATGACTGAGTCTGTGCTGAGTTTTTCCTGTAGTCTGCTCTGTTTGGATGTGAAGTGAATGAAAACTGAAAGCAGATTTTTCTTGTTTTATTGTGGCTTATAGAACTTTGAGAAGTAAACAGTCCTGACAAATCTGTCAGCTGTACCCTACAGGTGTAACTATTATATCCAAAGCCAGTATTCAGTATCAGTGTCAATCAGTTAAGTAGGGCCCATTATGTAACAAGGTGAATTGTTAGGGTTGGATGGACCAAACCTTTTTATTATCAATGCTAAAAATGTTTCTTTGACCATGTCATAGTCAAATAGTCATGCACAAATATTGTAGAATTCTTTAAATGTCTGTATTGGGATTTAAAGAAATTGTTTACAGAAAAGAGTAAAGAACAATTACAGGATTAAGATGCTTACATTGTACTTGATGTTTTTTATTGTCAGGAAATGCTATTAAAAGACCAAAACCAAAAATCATGAATCCTCTGTGTTCTGCCACTATATGATCGGTCAGTTGGGTCACCCATCTCAGCTCAGTGACTTGGTCACAGTTTAGGTCATCGCACAGCTCTGGAGGCTAAATAGCTATAAGAACACACATTAATCTGCAAACACTTTGTAAAACAGGCCCTAAGCCATCTCTACTGTTCTGCCTCCCACTCGCTGTACTGGCAGCCATGCCTGGGAGTTGCCATGTAAACCACATAGACCTGACACCAGTTGTTTTGACTGAGAGCACTGAGGCACTGACTTATTGTGCAACACAAGGCAGAGCCTTTAGCCAGTCCAACTACAACATCAGAATCCCTGCTGTAAACCCACCACTGCTAGTGACAAAGTGACCTCTTCCAGGATGGAATTTGGAAGCATTTTCCCCAGAAATGTGTGGTTAATCATATCAGAACATTGTCATACACACAGCAGAGCGTGTTCCTTAGCACTTTTACAGTGTTCATGTGATACCCACACCCATTAAGAGTCATTTAGTACTTCTGATAGTTTTGAGCAGGCATCCAGAGCCGTATCAGCGCTGTGAATAGAGAACCAGCTCTCAGCCACCATTTAAATCCACTCAAAATCATTTTCATTGAATGGTCAAAAGTGGAATAAAGCCACTGGTCTTACACTGGCATTAAGTTTGTCTAAACTATGTCACATTTCACATATTGTCCTAGCAGGTTATATTAAGGTCTATGAATTATATATAGTGTAAAAACAGTTTATCCAGAAAACTTTATAAAAGAAAAGAAAAAACTTTGGTCCAGACTAAAATATCCCAACAAATATTACAGGGATACCCACTCATGATCTCCAGTGAATGAAACTTACTGTAATGCTGAGCCTCTAATTTTCCCTCATGCACCACCAGCAGATTCACATTTTCAGTTTAGAAATGAAATTCGAATAACCTTAGGGTGGATCGGCACAAAATTCACCCTGACATCAAAAACAGTGTTACTTAAGAACCTTTATGTGAACTTGTGCTTTTATTTCTATGTCATGACATCCTAGTCCACATTTTTGTACAGAGCAGCAGCTGAGACTTGTAGTTATTTGTGTGCCTGTGTGTGATTCTGTCTTCATGAATACACTCTGGCCTATTTCAATTGGTGAACACAGCAGGGTGTATCACGCCACTGCATGCTTCTTACATTGCCACACAGATGCTGTCATTACAATTCAGACCATATTAGAATTAGAGTTATAATGTCCTTTTTATGTTATCATACTGAGACACCTGAAACTCTGTTGAATGGCTTACCTAAAAATCAATGTGAAAGTTTTATTTGGGTGTAACATGCAACTGAAATTCTCAGACTTTATAAAATGTTCCAGATGGAGATGTACATTACATACGGAGAGGAAAGCGATCTTCCCACCAGGGCCACAAGTCTGCTTCTCTGATTAGGCCCCATTTGTTTCTAAATGACACCGATGATTAAAGCTGCTTGACTCAAATATTCCTCATGTTTTAGGGAATCCTTGCAAGGTTTAGGGAATGAAGGCCAGAGCCCTTAAGGGGATATTAGACCTGAGGGCACTTTTGTTTTGTTGGTGCGGTCTTAGTCCTTCTCATATTATCCCCTCACAATTCTTTTACTATCCAGATAATGATTCAATTCAGTTGCAAAACTCCACGTGGCCATTTAAGAATGTTTGATTCCAGTAAAGCCCAGCCTTCAAGCTTTACAAACAAACTGTAATGAGGCTATTTAAAACCCCAAAGCTGGACTTCTAAGTACTCACTCATGGCGGTCTTTCAATTTGTGATTTTTCAGAATCAGAATCGGCTTTATTGGCCAGGTGTGACGGACACACGAGGAATTTGACTCTGGTACAGCTGCTCTCAATGTGCAAAACAGTAAACCAGCATAAGGCTGTGTAATACAACAAAATAGCAAATCAAAACAAATAGGTACAGGCCTACAGACTGCTTCTAGTTACTTTCACTGAGAGCTGTGTTGATTTGTTACCTCATTTTGATTTTTGAGCTTCACTGTGCAGAATTAAGTTATGGTTTATTGCAGTGTCTTGTAGAGGGCCCTGAGTCAGAATGTACAGTAGTTTTAAAAGCTTTATTATTTTAGTTTATATTGAGGCCTAATGATATATAGATAATCACAAGCAAACATGAATTATCAGCACATAAGAAGCCATTGCATTGAACTTCATGAGAATTTGGGGATGACAGGGTACACACACAGGCTACAGTAAGCTATTGCACAGAGGTGGTGGAGTGTAGCACATGTTCACTCTTGGATCCACTAAACGGTTAATCTGGCCATGGCCATTACAACTAGTTTAAAACCTAATCATCTAGTATACAACTTAAACAAATGCTAAATTGCATGTAAGCATTTTGTTAGCATACTGACATTGATGATGCCATGTCTTTTCATATATTTCTCCTATTGATATTAGTACCTATAGTTAATAAACACTCCTGACATTCCTGTCAACCTCAGCTATAACTGCAGTACTTTGAGATTAGTGCTGATAATTAGCTAACCCTAGCATGCTAAGCTAAACGAAGATGGTGAACATTATAGGCTACCTGCTTCACATCAATGTTAGCAAACATGTTAGCATGTTAATGTTAGCCTTTAGCTTTAGCATTTGTTACCATTTTTGCCTAGTCTACGCTTGTTACCCAGGTAATTTAATTTTGTTTTGCGGAATAACTTATGTATCTACATCAGACAAATTAATCTTTCCAGTGTGCGAACCTATAAAATATGCCCTGCTTCTGTATAAAATTACTGGGGCAAGACTTTTCCTTCTCAGCTCACAGAAATATTAACTTGTGTTTACTTCTTAAAGGGAAAACCCGGGGCAGCCTAAATGCACTACCCCGAGCAGCTCCTGGGCATAAGGGGGCCTAACTCCTGGAGAAATTTGATCCTGCATTGGGCCCTTTAAAGGAATATGGGATGAGTCTGTTGAATGGAGTTGTGAGCGAGTCCCACAGAAGTCTGAGCTGCAAAGCAAAGGACCACAGCGGGACTGGGCGACACTAGGAGTGAAAACACTGACAAGGAATGAATGAGAAATGAGAGCGGAGAGAAAGTCGGCGGTGTGAGTAGGAAGTTATGAGCCGAACTGCGACGAATTACCGGGGAAGGTGTCCGTGAGCGGAGAAATCCGACAGAAGGGTGGAGAGACAACAAAGTCACAAGGTAAAATAGCTGTGAGAGACTCCGCTATAGCAGCACGGATTGCTCAGCTTCTGCACGATCGCTGCTTTTGATGCACATGCCAGCAAATAAAATGAATCAAACAGCAGGCGGTGGTTGGCTCTGCACTAGTTTATTTTGAGAGATGTCTGATGACTGCTTGAACTAGCCTGTAGTTTTTCTGCTGACAGTCGGTTTTATGGCTGCTACTATTCTACTAAGCAGTGCGTGTCTGGAGCACCTGTTGCTTGTGGCCATTTTTGGAGAAAATCGTGGCTACTTCTTACCCTTGGAAGTAATATTCATCATCTCTATTTTAGGTTTATATGTGAATCAGGAAAAAAGCAGCTTAGTTACACTTGCATTGAGTGACTTTAAAGAATAATGTGCACCTTTATGTGTGTCACACATGCATAATTTTCTCATCATTTGTTCATCTGGATAAATCATAAGGGTCAGTAGACCATACATCAGTGGGATCTCTCAGCAGCTCCCAGAGCTGTTTAACACCTTCCCCACACTGAAACATGAGCAAGAGATTTTTACTCTGTCTTGTAATGTATGATTAGTGGTATCTCTGACTATAACTCTTAGCTTTTTTTTCCCAGTAGTGCTGCAGGATAGGAGTGCTGCAGAGGCAGATGTTTACACCTCAGTACAGAGGAATGTCAGGGCTTGTATTTAAGGCTAAGACTGATAATGTGTATGGTCAGTCTGCTGAGGCCTGTCATTAACCTGCCCTGGGAGAGAGCTGCAGGTTTGCTTACTGGGAAAGGCAGGAGGAGGAGGATAGATTGTGGAAGGAAGGAAGGGGAGACTGAGGGAGAGAGAAGGTGCTCTAGGAGTAGAGGAAAGAAGTGCATGGGGGTGGAAAGTGAGTGGTGTTGGAGGAGGAGAGGTGAGAAATAGAAAGGAGTAGGAGTAAGATAAGATCAAGAAGAAGATAAATGAGGGGAAGACTAAAATTAGATGCATTCATGATTTAAGAGTAGGCTTAAGACTAGCATTTGGCTTGTGTTGTGTTATAAATGCCCGATTTGTGTAATTGCTCAGTTAAAGTTGCTTTTTGAGTCAAAATTATTGTGAGTAACAGTAAAATATAGGGGAAAAGCTGTTATTTAAAAAGTTTTAAACCAGTCCTCTTTTGTACGCAGTAACATAAACCTCTGTTTTCTAAGCATATGATCAAATGTTACAAAATGTGAGCCTGGAGTGGAGAGTTTCTCCTTTATTTATAGGAATATATCCCAGCTGTAGTTGTAAAACAGGACCAGAATGGTGAGGCACTAATTTAAATAAAAGTGTGAGGCCTACTTTACCGGATGAGAGTCGACAGAGGTCCTCTTTTGTAAAACATGTGGGGCCGTTGAGGAGAAGAGAAGGCAATATTTAACACACCCATACTTGACTCTCAGTGCTGTCAGATAATTCGTCCAGGTCTCATACACACAGATCTGACTGACCCAGATTTACACACATGCTCCTGTGCTGTTTGATGGGAGGCTTTCTTCTTTTTTTATTTTTTTTATTTGAAGGTCTTCGAAGGGAGGGGGCCAAGTTAGATCTCGGCAGAGACAACAACAGCAGGGGATTGAAATGTCGGGTGGGGATGATATCACCCAACCACCTAATCACTTACATCACTACATCTGCATGTTCAGCAGTGGGTCAATGTGTGTGTGCGCGCGCAAATGGGTCTGTTTCCAATCTATTTCACTGCATCTCCATCTGTGCCTGTCTGTGCTCTGGTAAGCGAGCGCTGAAGAGTTACGACTGGCCGGGGAGTGTGTGTTTGAATATGTGGTGATTAAGGAGGTTCTAGTGAATGGAAGGACTGACTAGAGAATTGTACATGTGCGCCATGCATCCTCTGAAGAGCAGCACACACAACCATGATCCTTTTACTGAGTGGGAAATGGCAATGGTGCAGTCACATACCTAGAAAAAAACATTGCATGCTGCACTGTCCAAACAGTTTCATTATGATCCATGATTTCTTCCACATTTTAAATAAAAGGTCTCCTTGGTGGATATCAGATCTCACTCAGTCTAAGAATAATGCAGTGTAACTAACTGTCAATGTGCAGTCAATGGAAGGCAGTTGTTGGCGATGGCAGCTGTATAAATGATCCTGCTGGGGTCTTTGCGGTAGCGTTTCCATTCAGTCGTCTTCCCCAGTGTTTGCTCTGGCTGTGACTGCATGCAAGCTCTTGCACCTAGATGGATGTAAAGAAGCTCTTAGGGCCTTTGTGTCTGTCTGCAATCAGCAGAGGACTCACCGTTCTGGGCTTCAGCTCTCCTGTGCACCCCCTACCCACCCACTCTGTGTGGCCCGAGTGTTACCAAACATGGATCTGAAGTGCTGCGCAGATCCTGGAAAGCTTGTTTTTGTTGTCTTGACTTTTTTTTCTCTCCTCCCACCTAAATGTTTTCAGCATTGGCATATGCCAGCCAGCCAGCCAGACAAACAAAGGATGTGTTCCACCAGTAATTGGCTTGTTTACACCCAGCTGTTTTAGCCTCTGGAGGAGGGCCTGGGCTCCTGTGTTTGCCCCATTGTTGCCCAGCAAGGCTTATTCAAGCTGACTGATTTCTCCTGTTTCCCAAGCTTGTATCTTACTTTACTTGACCTTCATGTGCTCTAGTCCGCCCTGGGGAGAGAGACGTCGGTAGCTGGACTTCCCAGCCTGGGTACAGTGGTCGGCTGGCAAAACCGCCACATGCACGACTTCTGTAATTTGTTTGCTAGGCCTGTACTTATGAGCATGCTAATTGTAGGGAGCGCCATGGTGCAGTTATAGTTTCTGGACTTTGAACGTCTGCTGTTCTGCTGACACTGTCTGGCTGCACTTTCATTTTGTCTGTCTTTCTCTCTGAACACTTTCTAGCTTCCTTGAATTTAATCAGCTTTTGTTTGAGTTCACATAGTGGAGCCTTAACCTTTGTGAATGAGTATCCCGCCAGAGAAAAACAGCCACTGGTCAATCCTCCTCAGGTAAAAATAACCCACTTTCCCACCTTCAGTGCTTGGCCCATTCATTCTCATACATTCTTTCTTCCTTTCTTTACTGAGGTGAGCTGACGGCCCCCCGTCTCTAGCTGTGATGGGACTGTCATGCAGAAAGACACTATTGTGCCGCCCAGGATCTCATTTCACTTCTGCCTTGTAATTAAGAACGGATTGCATGGTTAGGGAGTTGCGGGTGGAGGTCGTGGGACCCAGGGGATTGAGTTAGTAGGTAATTTGGCTAAAAAGCAGAGCGTTGACCTGCTTTGTAGCTGGCAGGCCTGGGAGCCGGCATGCATGAACCCAACTCCCCCACTAACACAGAGCTTCCCTGCTGAGGTTTTGTTCAGTGTGTGTGGGCATGTGGAGAAAGACTGAGGCTGTGAGGATTTCTCTAAGCTGTGTGTTTGTTTCTAAGCATAAAGTATGTGTATGTATGGTCAGTAAATGCTTGCAGAGCATGATTCTCTGGGGTTGTGTGTCACAAAGCAGCACAGAAAGTGGGAGGATGTGTTCAATAAATTTCTGTCATTGTAAATTCGTTAGTGTTTGCTTCACTCATGTTTCCTCAGTGAATCATGGGAAGTGCTGTCACTAAGGAGTATTTTAGAGGTTAAATAGAACTTGTGCTGTAAATGAAAACAGAAGCTGGACTGCTCAAGAAAACACCATCAAAGGATTATTTGCACATCCTGTTGGAGCTGATATGTGTTATTTGCTGTCTTATTATTGAGATTTACTTTCAGGTTAATACAGCACTCTCTTAACAGCAACCTGATACCATACAGATGAATGTTTTCTGTCTTCCAGTCTGGCCTGAACCCAGCAGCAGAGCTCTGAATCCTCACCATGGCTGATGTTTTGGAGAGCGGCGGGTCAGGAACTGTTAGAACGGCCAGCGTGGATTGGCAGAAACGCTGCATAGCTCTAGAGATGCAGCTGCTGAGGTTCCGGCTCCAGGCAGGGAAAATCCGAGAGCTCCTGGCAGAGAAGGTAAGCAAGAAAAGCATCTTGGGTAGTATCTCGAGCATAAGCTAAACACGGGTGTGTCCGAAATCACTCCCTTGTTCACTCAGTCACTTCTGTTGTGTTGCCTTACGTCACCTTTGTCTGGGCCAGTCAGGTTGAAAAAGTGGCACTCGTCCACACTGCACAGACCACAGCCAACGATCACCTAGCATGTAAGTTCTGCACCTCCATGGGAAAAATAAGTCCCCCTACCAGCAGGTGGGGGTATCTGCATTTGCAGCTGAGAAAGGGAAAGAAGAAGAGTTAGACTGTGGTTATGTAAGCTGTAAACAAAGGAGCTCTAGCTCAACACAGCTGCCTCTAATTCAGAATATGTCTGATAAAAAGTTGTAAATGGCACTGCTGTTCTCTGCTCTTGATCCTTTGGTTGTGGAATATAAAAGGAGGTTGTGGAGGTGAAAAACAAGGAGAAACCTCACTAAATGGGTGAAATCATGGATTACTATAGTGACAGGCTGAAGGGGCATTCCCAAAGTGGTCTCTTCTCGGGCGTTGATTCGCTAAGCTGAACAGCCAAGCACAATGGTCTCTCTCACCGATAAGGTCCAATGGGCCGACGCCGATTCAACATGCTGAATCGGCTGAAAAGGTGCCGGCAGGGTCTGACTAGTGCCAACGGTGCGCGACACAACGGGAATATGAGGGTGACCAACGGGCCGACCATTGATTGACTTGGCGTGTCATGGGCCGTGTAGCTGAGTCTGAATTTTTAAGGTCGCTGTATAGTGGAAACATCTACACATTCAGGTTTCTAACACAAATAAAATGATGGAGCGTAAATGTAGTGCACTTTATAGTAAATAAGGAGTGATTATGAACAGAGGCTTTATAGGATTTATTTAGCCCTCTCCAGTTCTTTTTATGTTCAGACTTAGCCTAGTTTTAAGTGTTTATAAAGTGGCGATGTGACTTCAAACTACCAATTCTGAAATGTCAAATCTAAAATGCCAGGCACAGACATCCTGTGAAAAAGAAACTGGCACTTTTGTCATAAAACTAAAGAATGGCTTACAAGCTTCAGAGTCATTTTTAACAGGACAAAAACTGAGGTATAACAAGTATATGGGTTAACTAGATTTTCAATAAGATTTATTTGTTTTGTTGATCTTAAGTTATTGACTTGATCTGACACTATATTAGCATGTATAGTTAAGCATGAACTAAATATGTGACCAGCTGAATCACAGAACTACTGTGGACATTAGATTTAAAGTCATCATGCTACTTTCATTTGCAAAATAATACATGGTGCTAGATGTTTTTACTACCGGCATACTGATCTTATTGCTCCGTCATCTTCTTCTTCTCTCCTGGCAGTGGTTTTAAGCGTGTCATGCATGAGGAAGCAATTAAAGCATGTGAATCAGTGGAAAATACAGGTGTGGATGACTGTATGTTTACGTGTGTGTAAAGACAGATGAAACTACTCAGCTTATTTGATAAACATTTGGTTGAGTCATTCTGTGTCATCAGAGGTTGGGTGTAGTTTCAGCCAAAATGAATATTTAACATTTCACTCATCACTACTGGTGCTTCCCCTGAGGTTAGGGAAGTAACCGCCAGCATCCAACCAAGCGCTTGTCAAGTTGAAGCTGTTGTAAAGTCTGAGTACCAGACACTTTGGAGAGTAATCAACTGCCATCGGGACGTTCAGTGCTGAAGAGAGTGGAAATGTTTGAAATAGAAAAAGGAAGAATGAGTTCAGTAGCAGGAAAAACTGTTCTCCTATCCTGCCTTCTCTATAGTTTTCAGTTGATTTCTGCAGCTTTATATGTGGCTGTTCTTTATAGCCTCAAACAGCTCTGAGCTGATATTGTTTGGAGCGGTTTGCTTTCTGTATCATCTCTAATTCTGGAGTAGTCCAGTGGTTCATTCATTCAGTCAGTCAGCAGGATGTTTACAGTCCAAACATAACCGGGCGGCTGATAAGAGCAGGACAACTCCCTGCTGTGTCCTCTGTCAGGTTCTGTCAGACCTCCTGCTCCTCTGTGAGATGCCATGCAGCGTGCATACACACACACACACACACACACACACATACACACACTCTTACCAACGCTTAAAACTGTCCAAAGTGAGAGAATGTCATTAATAAAGGGTTATTCAGCTACAGTAACCTTGGAGTGGGGACATGCACCAACCAAGGGATTTTTCACAACCTGGTAACCTGCAGGTTTTTGTTACCATATTACTGATACATAAAATATTTTTTAAAAGTAGATTTATTGAAGAATAGATCTGAGAAAATCCAATGAAAAGACCAAAACCAACAATGAATCAGTCCTACTAACAAGTGTCTTTTCTGTGTAGCCAACATCTGATAGCTTTTATTCCTCCAAGTCATCAAGCTCCACTGTTGTTCAAAACCTATTAAAAACACATCAACCACACTGATGCAGAACGTTCAGGCAGAACTAAGAGTGTGGATGTACCAACACCAACTCTGTGAAAGAACCAAAAAATCCTGCACACTGTCCGAAATAAGTATATTTCTTTGATTTTCATGAAAAATATTTAGTTAATTGCTCCTATAGTAATCACAGGATCAACAACTGAAAATGATACAGTATCTGTGGGGCAAATACATCACTCGTCAGTGATTGGTTAGTTAGAAATTAGATGATGTCAGACTGAATGGAAGAAGTGAAACAAAATGGCAATGGGATTCTAGTTTATTTGGATCAGTCTTACATTCATCACTCTGGTGCTACAGTAAATATTGCTACTGCACCAAATATGTATTTATCCTCAGCTAAAAATAGTCCTCAATAAATTCACTATGCTCTCCTGTATGAGTAACTTTTACTCATAACTACAGAGCCCAGTCTTTTTAAAGAATGAAAGGTATACCTGTGAACTGTTTTTAAGTATTTAGAAATGGACAGGGGGTGGAAGTCAGCGTGTACTGACAGACTGTTAGGTCCTTATTTTCCAAATGGACCAGCTGCTCTCCTTTTCCTCTCTCTCTCTCTCTCTCTCTCTCTCATATAAAAACATGTTATTGAAAAGCATACGTAGTATTTATTATTAGATGTTCTTTTTGGCCATGCTGCCAAGAAAAGAAGTTTAAATTGCTTTTTTTGAAAACAGGTTGTGTACTCTGACTTTTTCCCACTCCATTTATGACAAACATGCATGTATACACAGACAGCACTGAGCAGGGTTTAAGTGGAGGCTTGTGCTGCTGAGTGTTTTTTTTTTTTTTTTTGACTACCATTCCATCATGTTATTGCTGTTTGGAAAGTCTGCTTCACACTCTTCAACTCCTCTGCTGCCAAGTTAGGAGTGTTTTACACATTGACCCACTTTGGTATGGAAAAACATGAAAAAGAAAAGTTGACGTGGTTGCATGTGACATGGCATTTATCTTCAGAGACTCACTACAAGTGAGGGACTAGTGAGAGAGGAACGATTACTTCATCTTAGTCTGCACTCATCTGCACCTCTGGATTTTATCAGCCCATCTGAATTCCACACTAAAGCAGAGGGACATCACCTTGTTTCTCAACAGGATTATTCTCCATAACTTTATCCTGTAATAAATGTATCCAAAGTAAGATTTACACTCACTCTGTCATTTTCCATTATATTTTCAGCTAACAGGCATACTGTGAAGGATAAGGCTGGTGGTGGCATTCTATATTTTAGTTACTGACAGTAAATCCCATGAAAACAAACAACCCATTTTTCTGTCTCTCACTACTTGTGTGAATGTTTTTGACTCTCAGTCCCAAGCCCATTCATTCATACTGAGGATTTATTTTAAAAAAGACAAATATACTGCATACTTTCACTTTTCAAAAGGGCAAATAACTTCCTAAACCAGCTGAACACTGTAGTTTTCAGCAAATGTTACTTGAGTCAGAGTAAACACTATATTTCTTGGGGACTGTTTTGAGTCATGAATTTGCAACAACAAAATGACACTTCTGTGGTGGAGTCAGAGATAAAGAGACAACACGAGCTGTATCCGTATCTGATAGCGTTAAGGTCACCCGTCCTGTTGCTCAGACTCATAGAAACCCCAGACACTGTATAACAGTGATTCCCATCCAGGGGTACTACTGTAATAATAGAAATGCAAACTTAAGCAAACCAGCTTAAGGACTGACAATTTCATTGCAGAAAACATTTTGTAACAGTGTGAAATTAACCACTGTATGAACAAACACTTGGAATAATTTACATGACGGGTGGTATTGAGTTTGTTTGATTGTGGGTGTCTTTAACAAATGGTTGAGACCCCTGATATATAGCTTGGCTTTTCCCTTTCCAGCTTACAGGCCCTTATAACAAGTCACCACTGCTGTTTTCTGCACAGAGTTTGTTGGAACAAAGCTGCAAGAGTCCTGATGCCAATGCAGTCTTTCTTTTGAACTCTGTGTGAATGTGACAGGCTTGAAACGGTTGTGCTCTGCCTTTAATGTGCACTTTACATTACGTTAATGAAGTGAATTTATGACTGTAGGCCGTGCTCCTTGAATATATACCCTCCCCATTCAGATTTCTGTTTCTCCTTCACGCTCACAGTGTTGGCTGTGTAGCCATCCAACCACTTCCACTTCCTGACCTCTAACTTTTTGACCTTTAACTGTCTGATGATGGCTTCTTCTGATGACCACTTTTCACAACTGTCCTACATTGTGAGGTACTTTGTATTTACAGTGAGGAACAGAAGTATTTGAACACCCTGCGATTTTGCAAGTTCTCCCACATAGAAATCATGGAGGGGTCTGAAATTCACATTGTAGGTGCATTCCCACTCTGAGAGACAGAATTAAAAAAAAGAATTTTAAAGAATTTATTTGTCTTGCACTGCTGAACATAAGTATTTGAACACCTGAGAAAATCAGTGTTAATATTTGGTACAGAAACCTTTGTTTGCAATTACAGAGGTCAAACATTTCCTGTAGTTCTTGACCAGGTTTGCACACACTGCAACAGGGATTTTGGCCTGCTTCGGGTCGTTGTCATGTTGGAAGACCCAGCCACGACCCATCTTCAATGCTCTGACTGAGGGAAGGAGGTTGTTGCTCAAAATCTCACAATAAATGGCCCCATTCATCCTCTCCTTAATACAGTGCAGATGTCCTGTCCCCTTCGCAGAAAAGCACCCCCAAAGTATGATGTTACTACCCCCATGCTTCACAGTAGGGATGGTGTTCTTGGGATGCAACTCATCCTTCTTTTTCCTCCCAACACGACGAGTGAAGTTTAGACCAAAAAGTTCTACTTTGGTCTCATCTGACCACATGACTTTCTCCCATGCCTCCTCTGGATCATCCAGATGGTCTTTGGCAAACTTCAGACGGGCCTGGACATGTGATGACTTGAGCAGGGGAACCTTCTGTGCAATGCATGATTTGAAACCATGACGGCGTAGTGTTCTACTGACAGTGACCTTTGAAACTGTGGTCCCAGCTCTCTTCATGTCATTGACCAGCTCCTCCCTTGTAGTTCTGGGCTGATTCCTCACCTTTCTTATCATCAGTGATACCCCACGAGGTGAGATCTTGCATGGCGCCCGAGTCCGAGGGAGACTGACAGTCGTCTTTAGCCTCTTCCATTTTCTAACAATTGCTCCAACAATTGATCTATTTTTACCAAGCTGCTTGGCAAATGCCCCGTAGCCCTTTCCAGCCTTGTGGAGGTCCACAATTTTGTCTCTGGTGTCTTTTGACAGCTCTTTGGTCTTGCCCATGGTAGTAGTTGGCATCTGACTGACTGTGGGGTGGACAAGTGTCTTTAAAGAGCTCAGACAGGTGCTACCAATTTAGATTAATGAGTAGAGTAGAGGTGGACTTCTTCAAGGCACAGTAACAGGTCTTTGAGAGCCAGAATTCTTGCTATTTCTCAGGTGTTCAAATACTTATGTTCAGCAGTGCAAGACAAATAAATTCTTTAAAAATCATACAATGTGATTTCCTGAAATTTTTTTTTAAATTCTGTCTCTCAGAGTGGGAATGCACCAACAATGTGAATTTCAGACCCCTCCATGATTTCTAAGTGGGAGAACTTGCAAAATCGCAGGGTGTTCAAATACTTCTGTTCCTCACTGTACCTAAAGTACTTGCTTGTTGATCCTATTTTTAGGGTTAGGGTTGCTTCAGTGGACAACAAATGCTGTTTTCACTTCTCTGGCTCAAGCCCTGTAAAAACTTTGACTCATGACTGAGGGTTTTGACCATGAGGTGAGGAGTCATCCAACCACTAACCATCAACCTCCGGCCATGCTTTCCTCTGCAGATGCACTCTGGCTTTAGTGAGTGTTAATCCGGCTATGAGGAAGCATTCAAATGTTGTGAGTCGTGGATTCTAGGAATCAGGAGGCCTTTATGGAGCTGACAAGAAGGCTGAAAGAAAGACAAAGAAAGGGGAACAAAGATGACAGGAGGTATTCATATGCATCTCTCAAGCAGAGTGAATCCATTAGTATGTTTGTTTCCTTTCAACTGGGTCACTGAACTGAAGAAGAAAGGCCGTTCAGTGTTGAACTGGTGTGTGTGCGCAAGCGCTTCAGGGTATTTTTGCGCATGCACCCGCGTTTGTGCATGAGTGTGACTTGCTGAGAGAGGATACTTGCAGGGTGGACAGTGTTTGCCTTTGAAAGCATGAGTATGCATGATTGGACAAGAGGTGACGCAAGCTTGGGCACACACACTAGCGTTCTTCTATCACACTGTTGTTTGACCAGCACTATGCGTGTGCCCTCTTGCTTAAAATAATGCTCCCTGTAAAACAGTAAATTATTTGATTTCATAAGTGACTATCTTAGAAACTGCTGCTTCTCTCTGTTTCTGATTTGACTGATGTTTAATCTTCCTTCCTTCAGGCTGAATTTATAATGCCCTTAATTTTACACACAAGATTTTCTTGATTAGAAATGTTTAGTCTGTTTCCCACTCAATTTTTTTTAAATGTCTTCTTTATGGCAATAGTGATTATATAGGATTGTGATTGTCTGTATGCATCTGTAGGTGTGTGTGTGTGTGTGTGTAAGCAGAGTTTGTAGTAGGTTACAGGATGTGTCTTGTCAGAACCTGTAGTATTGAGCAGTGGGAATCCAACTCTAACTATGAGAAGTGACAGAGAGCTCAGGATTTTCCCATGACTATCCATAACTCCAGCAGCGTCTATTATGTCCAGACCATGGTAACCTCTTTTGTCTCTGTGACAGATGCAGGAGCTGGAGCAGAGGGTGATGGAGGCTGACAGGCGAGCTGAAAGTGCTGAAAAACAGGTAGTGAGGAAGGTTCCATTCTTCTGTCCACAGCTTGTAAAATATTAAAGGATAATTAGACTTTGTTGCAGCTTGGGATTTGCGTAGTTATAGGCATCATTTCTGCTGGGATTCGGGATCTGTCACTGCTGAAAAATATCCCAACAGTACAGGGAACACAATTAGTGAGGCAGCCATGCAGCTGTAAACAACTTTCCAGGTTAGCAAACTAATTTGCAGTGGTGGAAGAAGTCCTTAGATTGTTTACCTAAGTAAAAGTAACAATACAACAGTGTAGAAATACTCTGTTACAAGTAAAAGTCCTTTATTCAAAACTTTACTTAAGTAAATGTACTAAAGTATTAGCATCAAAACATACTTAAAGTACTAAAAGTATGAAGAATGGCATGTTTAACATTACCGTATATAATATAATCGGATTATCATTACTGACACATTATTATGTGCGTCACATTTAATGTTGAAGCTGGTAAAGGTGGAACTAATGTTAACTACCTTATATGCAGTTTGAAGTAGTCAACTGCTGAGCAGTTTATGAATCTCCCATCAGGGATCAATAAAGCCTTATACCCCCTGATTCAGAAAAGCAAGTAAAGTTATCAAATAAATATAGTGGAGTAAAAAGTACAAGATTTGCCTCTAAAATGTAGTTTAGTCAAAGCATGAAGTAACAGAAAATAAAAACACTAAACTAAAGTACAGATACTTCAAACTGTACTTAAGTACAGTACTTGAGTAAATGTACATTGTTACTTTTCACCACTGAAAACAGGCACCCACATGTAAAAACATTAATTATGTTCCATCACTGCTAATTAAAAAACAAGAGTGAACATCCTGGTTCAACATTGACCTACCAAACCTACTGTGTTTGTGCTCTTACACAATATAGTAGTGGAGGAAGTGTTATTACACTTCAGGTGTCATTCCCTGTCAGGTGTTACTCCCAAATAAATTGGTTTAGATAGTAGGGTTAAATTTCCTCTCATCTTATGGCTAATTTTTTGTGCCTTTTTTTGAGTCCCAACCACTAATTAGGACTCAACCTTTGATGGGGCCTAAAAAGAGATATTTACCTCGTACATATCACACGTAACCCCTGTTGCTGTTGGGTTTAATCACGGATTTGTTGTCATTACTAACTTATCCAGGTATTTTCTGAAAGGTGGTAATTTAATGTGCCCTTTCTTTAAAAACCAGAAATACCTGAAGGCTTAGAAAGCTTTTTATTTCTTCTCATCACAGTTTCCACAATATATATCCTCTGCGCTTCCTTCTTGACTTTGTCTGGTGCCCATCAAAACTAAATGAATCAAATCTAAACTGTGGTTTGACTGTGCTTGTGCGTTCACTCCTCTAATTATGCATTTCAGATTCATGTCATGGAAGAAAAGCTCAAGTCTGCAAACATACAAACCAGTGATTCAGAGAGCTTGCTGCACAGACAGTATCATGACCTGACTGATCAGGTTCAAGAAAAGGATGTGGTGATAAAGAGTTTAGAGATGCAGCTGGAAAAACAGGTATGGATGGATCCGTCAGATAAAGAATATGAATGTCCATTTATGTTCATGAAATCTAGTTTGAAATAATCCACAAACCTTCTTTTCCTTCCCTCTAGATCTTAATCAGAGCCCAGGAGGCAAAAATGATTGAGGAGAAGGCTGCCAAGATTAAAGACTGGGTCACCTTTAAGCTTAGAGAGGTGAGCTCAGTCATGTATAGATACACCCCAGACTGAAGGCAGAGCATCTGGGGAAACCCTCATCCTGCTGAGTGACATTATCTGTGGAAACAAGAGATGCTTATAATTTCAAGTGCATTATCTGCAGCTTTTTTTACACTTAAGTTTTATCCACAGTCAAAGATAGAATTTTTAAGGGCTGAATGACGAAACCTATACATCTTAAACAGTTATTCACTTGAAATTTCAAATAATAATATCAGCTTTAACATCAGGTTAAAACATATTACTTCAGAATCGCATTATGGAATTGTTTTCACTGTAACAGCTGTATATGGCTGCTAAATATGTTTTAAGGCACTGTATATGTGAATTGTTGCAGATGGAGCAAGAGAACCAGCAGCTGAAAATTACCAACCTGAAGCAGACAGAGCAAATAATGCTGCTGCAGGACAAACTGCAATGTGAGTACTGCTGCAGGTGCTTAGGACACAGCACTATACTAACATGCTGCCATACAAAGGCAGGAAGCATTTCCTACAGAGATGCTGGAATCTTCTGAAAAGGATGAGTAGGTCAACCTCATCATCAGTGGTAGGTACTAACCATTGCAGACTGGGAACACCCAACAAGACCTGCAGTCTGGGAGATGCTCGGACTCGGTTGTCAGCCATCACGGTCTGGTACTTGACAGTCGCTCTAATCCTTACGTTTCCCTGTTTTTCTGCTTCCAACACAACTTTGGAACTGAATCTTGCTGCCTAATATACCCCACACACTGACAGGTGCTACTGTAACGAGATAATCAGTGTTATTCACTTCACCTGTCAGTGGTCATAATGTTATGGCTGATCAGTGTAAAATAATGAATTTATGATTTAATACTTTTAAATATGTTAGTTAGTGGTAGTCTAACTACACCAAACCACGTGAGTTCCACTAGAATCGCTTAGTCACTGAGATCTGCAAAGCTATGACAGTACTGCTGACAGTATTCTGCTTAACGTGTAGATGTGTGGGGAATGGGTGCAAGCTCCACTGACAAAGAGACTGACTTGTTGTCTTTCTCCTCCAGCTCTCTTAGACAAACCTGTATCCTCAGGATCCTCTGCCACCTCCCCTCTAATGGATACCCACCTGGTGCCCAGCAGCCCGCTATTTCCTCCCAGCTGCCCCGGCACACCACCTGCCCAAGATGACAGCTGGAGACAGACAGGTCTTCGTGGGGCCACCTCAAATGCAAAGATCTTGCTAACAGGTGTGCTACCCTCAATTCTTATGGTCTCATAATGGGTGCAAGCTTCTGAAGTAATGTTGTTTAATTTAAGCCGAGTTGATCATGATGGGAACAGAACCTGTAATGTTGGACAGGATGGTAGGTTTACCAAAATCCAATCTGCAGCCATTATTTCCAAAACCTTGTTCTGTTCAGTCTTGATTATAGTGGAATTTGTTATGGTGGCTAGTAATTTTTGCAGTTATTTTATTATTTTCCACATTTTACCTTTTTATTTAAGAATAGCAGTAGTAGGTAGTATGTATGTAGGCTTTCTCAAGTGTTATTAATCTGTCCACTCTCAGATGTGAAAAGGCCTCCTGAACAGGTCAGTAAAGAGATTTGCCCTGGAGATCTTGCAGCCCATGATGCTGTCTCTCAGGGTCGGAGCAGGGAGGGTCCCGGCAGCCCTGCTTCCATCAGCGGACCAGAGCTCCCAGTGGGGTGCTCAGATAGAGACAACTCTTCTGATGAGCTCAACAACAGGTTCCGCTCTCAGTGCCTTCACTCATCGTCATCCTCTTCATCTTCGTCCTCTGCTTACGAGATGGCCCATAGGCCAAGCTTCCCAGACTCACTCATCAGAATAACACCCAAAAGCCCGCTGCTGTCACGCTCCCCCTCCACCAAGAACCCCTTTCCCAATCCTCTCGAGCTTCTGGTTCACCAGTCGGGAATCAGCATGACATTACCCAAAGTACGAACTCCACTCACCCCCAGAGACAGCATCCAGCTGGTCAAGAAGCACTACAGTCAGCCACAGCCCAGTCTGGACAGACTTCACAACCTCAGCGTTAACATAGACATCATGACGCCGTCCTCCAACTCCTCCACCCTCAAGAGCACTTGCACGACCACCTCGCCCTTCTCACAGGTGGTGGAAGAAACAGACATTGATGATGGGCTTTCTGACAGCATGGACGGGGTGGTGGAGGGCCCGGGAGCAGAGGACTTATCCCAGAATGGGGTTTCCTTTGTAGGGCTCAAAGAGGAGCTGGAGCAGTTGGATCCAGAAGTTCTTAAGCCACCAACTCCTCCTTTACACCGCTTCCCTTCATGGGTATGAGAGATGGTGGTTGTTTTATTTTATGCTGTTAAAATCTAATCTGTAAACATAAGCAATTTAATTAGACCCGTTATTGTTTCAGTTACTGCCCAAAGCTCAGGACTCATAAAAACCATTAAAAATTAAAGGAATAGCTTGATTTTTTTGGAAATACATTTATTTGCCTTTAGCAGAGGTGTCAATGTGTAGATCAGCACCGCTCCGCGTACGGTAAATGTGATACTACCACAAGCAGCTCAGCATGACAGATAAACACAGCTGTCCTCACTCTGTCCAAAATGAACATAATCCCCCCACCAGCACCTCTAAAACTCAGTAAATTGAACACTCTCATACAGCCAAGAGAGTGGGATTGACCGTTTCATCTGACTCGCAGCAGGAAAGCAAATAATCATACTTTTAAAAATGTCAAACTGTTCCTTTAAAGATTTATTTGTCAGATGTCTTGATGACAAAATGTTGTACTTTCTAAAAGTGTTTTTAATATAGTAATGAAAGTGTAAGTGAAGAGGAATATTCCTGGCTGTGCTGATCTCTGCAGGAGAGTCGGATCTACGCTGTGGCTAAGTCAGGAATGAGAGTGTCAGAGGCCAATCCTGGAGCCAGAGGCCCTGGACGAGGTGAGCCCCCCCCAACTGGAAGTAACAAACTAGTTGTACTGGCAACAGTGAACTGAGGAAGATGGAGAAAAAGCAGATTCTCATGTGTAAAACTGTGTCTGACCCTGTGTGTGTGTGTGTGTGTGCTCCTGCATCTGAATGTGTGTCATGAGCTTGGGTGGTGTGATACATGAGCCAGAACTGTGAAGTAACTTGTTATTGGTTTGGATCTGTCATTGCTGCCTTTAATATCACTTCCTGTGGCTTGAGGCTCCACACACCTGTGCAGGTGTGGGCTCCTCTTCAGGAGGCAATTGTTAGGTTATTTCTTAGTTAGATAGGTATGGATTAGAGATCTGTTGTCTATGAATGTTTAGTGCAGACAGGGTGACTAGCTTGGGCTGTTAACTATTCAGCCTGCAGGCACGTCAAGGATACAGGAAAACTGCTGTTAGTGTCAACTGTAATGCTAGTCTTAATATTTGTCTTAATGTGTAAGGTTATGTCCAATTGTTTAGATACACACCACGAAAACAACAGTCACGCACCTTGACTTTGCCTCATGTTTTGGCTAAACTTTGGCAGGCTGGGGGTTTGGAAGATCTCTGGACTGGAAGTGTGGATTCTTGCCTGTGACTTTTTGAATAAACCAGCACGGATATATTTTTTATATACTCAAGTGGTCTGAGTCGTCCCTCTGAGTTCCTGGTTTGAAAGAACCGGATGAGGCTTTATAATGGTTTTTAGCCTTTACTACTCAGACCCTGACTTCCCTCTCTTTTTTTTTTTTTAAGGAAGAGCAGAGGAGAAGGGAGGTTTAGAGGAGCAGAGGGAGAGGCTGCTTTTTAATCAGCAGTGATGAAAGGATGTGATCAGGGTGTAATTACTGCTGTTTTCTGTCCTGACATCATCCATTTTGCCAGGATGCAGACAGTGAGGTTTGACAGCTCTCTGACTATTGAATTTCCTGACTGCCAGGTACATGTAGTTGACTGCCAAATGGTTGTTGTGGATTAAGTCATAGCTTGCTCATCTTATTCAGCTCCCTCTAAGGTGCATCTGCTGTTGGAACATTTTCATCTCCTGCAACATAAATGGAAGAGGAATACTTTGTTTTATCCAAAGAGCATGGTTTTTCACCAGCAGTTACTTAATCATCTCCTGCAACATAAATGGAAGAGGTTTTTCACCAGCAGTTACTTAGCAGCTATAGCGTTGTTTGAGTGAAATTAAAGTGGATTCAACTTTAGGTTTCACATGTCCTGCTCTATATTAAGATTTAGGATGATAATTATATTTCCACAAGAAGGATTGATCTCTTTAAAAATTCCACATCAATGAAATGTCCATGCAGATTCTCAGTCATCCAGGTCATCGTAAGCTGAAAAATCAACTGGACTAGGTTTTTAGGTCAAAGACGTTTCACCTCTCATCCAAGAGGCTTCATCAGTTCTGACTGACTGGCATTGAGTCGGAGATATTTAATGTTTGCATCTGTGTGTTGCAGGGTTTAACTTACCCCAGTATACAACGGCAGGTCCGTTCACCCAGCTGACCTATAAGAATATTAATGTGCCAGTTTACACAACACTGAAAGGGGTAAGTGAAATGTTCTTTATTACTAAGTTGCTTGGTCAGTGTTTTACTTTTGATGTAGCTTCGATTAGGTGGTGTTTTACGTTACCAGACTCTTTCACTTGTTTGTTTTAGAAAGCCACTCAAATCAGCAGTGTACCTCTGCCTGATGATGACTCTGGTTCCGAGGATGACAGCAGCTCTCTGGCCAGTCTGCGGACGTCCATCCTGAGTCCGGACAGGAAGAGCAGCGTCCCTGGGAGCCCACGTGCTGCCAAGAGAGGTGCGAACTGCAGGTTACATTGCATACAGAATAGTGAAAACCATACGCCTCTAAACTGGCATCATCTCAGGGATCTGAAAAAACTGCCTTGCTTTAATGTAAATTTAAAGAAATCATGAAATTTGGATCGAGTCAGATGCAAATAAGGAGCATTTCTTCATTGTATTCAAACACATAAACATAACTAACCAGATTTTACCAAAGTAAAAATGTCTTTAAAGAAAAACATTCATCCTGGAACATGTTCACACAGTAAAACTATGCCAAGGGGAAAACTGGAGAACAAGATGGTTTTCTGGAGGTAAATTTTTCATCATTTTGAATCAGTGTTTGCTGTTTATGCAAAGATTTTACGCAGCAACAAGAGAGTCCAGAATGATATATGGTGCTGTAGAAAGTATGAGGATACATTGGAGACCATTAACTGAAGAAGAAGAAGTAGATGATGCAGTTAAAGGGAAAGCAAAGTACAACAGTCAGTGGCTACATTCAATATTCAACACTGAATCTCTTTTTCTGCATTTCTTGATGTTACTTTTTGTGTTTGATTTTCTGTCTTCCCAGGTGTGTCCATGTCCTCTATCAGCTCAGAGAGTGACTATGCCATTCCTCCTGACGCCTACTCCCTGGACTGTGATTATTCTGAACCAGAACACAAAGTCCAGCGAACCTCCTCCTACTCCTGTGAAAGCACTGGGCCTGTGAGTGAAGTCCTCTTTGGGCTGTATGACTGAAAATAATCAACCAGTTTAAATCCACATATTTCTACAGACAAAATGCCAAGTCTGTAGGATGTGGTCTGATATAGTATTGTGCCTTTTTTTTGTGAAATGTAGACACTACACATAGTGAGATGTGTTAAATATTTCCCTGTGTTGTTTGTGTCTGCAGGAGATGTTGGAGAAGTCTGGGTACCTGCTGAAGATGGGCAGTCAGGTGAAAGCCTGGAAACGTCGCTGGTTCATACTGAGAAATGGAGAGATTCTCTACTACAAATCTCCTGTGAGTGTTTCTCACTGTGAGCCTGCCTGCCTGCTTCCTTTACGCATTGCACAAATATTGCTAAATGTTGTGTGTTTTTGGTGCGGGTTGGCTGTAGCTAAAGGCACACGTACCATATTCCCACATCGTCACACTACAGACTACATTTATGATCATTACAGCTGCAAAGTTTCTGATTAGATTTTTTTGTATAGCTTTGGACAGAAATGAAGTTTTTTTTTGTGTGTCTGTGTGTGTTTTCAGAGTGATGTGATCAGGAAACCTCAGGGTCACATTGAGCTCAACTCAACCTGCTGTATAGTACGTGGAGAAGGTGCACAGACATTTCAAGTAAGTGGAAAACGTTTTTGTAATCCTAATAGTGCCTCAGCATGTCATAAAAACACTGAAAGATATTAAAATACTATGATTCACACTGCACACTATGACCAGTTACAAATGGCAGCTCTTTTTTTTTAATAGATTTGAAAGTTAGAAAATAAAATTAAATAGAAAAACAGTTGTGAGAGCATACATGTAGCTACAGACACAGCACTCTTATAGCGCTGCATCACAGTAGAGCTTTACTGCTGCATACCAGAGAAGCAGCTTAAGATGACATCAGGTATACCATAGGACTGGAATGTTTTTCTGGCTCCTCGAAAACTGATTCTGATCTCCTCCAACATGATGCTATCTCAGTCGGCTTGGCTTAGCATTTTTCTCATATTTCTGCCTTTTGTCTAATCAGTTGATTACAGAGAAGAAGACCCTCTATCTGACCGCTGATTCACCCAACATCCTGGAGGAGTGGATCAGGGTTCTGCAGAACATACTCAAAGTCCAGGCCAGCAGCCAGGTTACCATGGAGACCACCGCTAAGCCCACCGTGACAGGCTGGCTCACAAAGGTCAGAGGCCAGAAGTAACGTTATGTTAATAATCTTCAAATCTTAAAGTCATAGTTGGACATTTTGGGGAATACGTCTGTTAGCTTTCTTGCCAATAGTTGGATAAGAAGACTGACTCATGTCTGTAAGCCCAATATATCAAGGAGATGGTTAGCTTATTTTACCTTAGCAGAAAGACCAGAAATAAGTGGAAACACTTAGCATTTTAAACATGAGATGATCCATCTAATTCAATTATGTACTGTATAAAGTGTGAAAACTACAATTTGCACATTTAAGATGGGTATGTGCTGAGTTATGTCTTACCAGGCACACAGTGGAAATTCCAGGAAGTCACTGCACCTTACAAAGAAGTACTCTTGTACATGCCATACAAATTCAGACTTTATCTCTGTATGTATTGGTTTTGTATTTGCTAAACTGAGGTAGCTTTGAGCTGATATATCATTGTTTTTCATCTCCATTTCTGGTCCCTATTCCCATTGCATAGCCGTAAGAGGTGTAGGTTTACCTGGCTTTCTCCCTGAAGAGGATGCCAGAAATAACTCCCTTTCAAGCATAACATCCTCTTCCGGACAGATACAGAGGTGTCTGTCACTTGGGTGGGGGGGTGTTGGTTGGGGAATTTGGCAGAGCACTCTTAAGGCAGATCCTTGAAAACCAACTTCACGTTAGGACATCACTTCAAGACCAGAACTGCTGGAATGCTACTGTACGGAGCTCCTTCCCCTTTCCCCCTCCCTGCCTTTCCTGAGCTGAGGCCTGCCTGCTGGTAACGTTCAGACACGTCACATCTGACAGGTTTGTGTGACGGGTCTCTGACAGCTGACTGACAGCCTTAAGCAACCTCACCATCCCCCAGTCCGCTTCCTGCGAGTCACCTTTGATCTGCTGGTTATGATGTGATCACAGTTCAGACAGCCTCTCAGCACAGTTAACCCTGGTGACTCCCATTTGAGGGATGCACAGCTGGTTTTGTGTTGAAGGCATCTTCCAGTGACATCGTTGCTCCATTTGTATTTGTAAAACTCTGAAAATGGTCAGTTTCAGAATGCGACTTGTAGTTATCATGCATGTCTGGAATCTCTTTGCTCTAGAAACAAACAAAAAAGCCCTGTTTGAATTTTTAAATTATTATTGAAGTCGCAGAAGTTGCTGTTGGATAATTTGCACTCCCACACTGCTAGTCAACTCCAGGGACATCTGTTGGTCAGATGTAGAAGTTAAACTCTTTAGTCTGAGTTTCAAAGACCTCAAAATATATAGTCTCATATTACTACTGTTCTGACAAATACTCAGATAGAGTTGGAAATCGTCCTGAAACCTTTCTCGTGCTTTTTCTACCGTTGGCTCTCTGTTTCAGGTCAAACATGGACACTCGAAGTTGGTGTGGTGTTCGTTGGTTGGAAAAGTCTTCTATTATCGTAACAAAGAAGACAAGGTTTGCATGACAAGGCTTTCCTTATTCTTAGCATGCCTTCACGTGTTTTTAATGTTGTTTTTTGTTAGCTATTATTAAGAGATCTCAAAAAAGCATTGGCATTTACATATCGGCTGTCCTAATCTGCACAGAATAGTAGGCCTTTGACAAATAAATGATGCTCCAGGTGTGTCTAACTGTTGTTTGTATGTACTCATGTCAGTTTAGTGTGTTTCTTTTATTAAGCATATGTTTATCTTACGTGTTTCAGTTGCCTCTGGGTCAGCTGCAGATGAGGGAGGCAAAGGTACAGGAGGTGGATCGCTCCTGTGATTCAGATGAAGACTATGAAGCAGGTAGCCGAGGTTTCCTCTCCTCCCACTGCACCTTAGTGGTCCAGCCCAAAGACCAGAGCCCTACGTATCTGCTCATCGGCACCAAGCAGGAGAAGGTATTGGAACAGAAGATGAACTGTTGTTTATTTTCAGATATAGGTTCAGACTGTTTTTTAAAATTCTTTTCTGCTTGTATATTAATGAGTAGTCTTTATTCCCCACAGGACACATGGTTGTATCACCTGACTGTGGCAGCAGGCAGCAGCGCAGCCTTCAAGGTGGGAACCGAGTACGAACAGCTCGTTGGTAAACTCCTTGATGTAGAAGGAGACCCAGGTGAGAAATCCATGTCCTACAGCAAAGACACTTCACAATTTTTTAAAAAAAGTTTCTGCTTAAGATATGAGGGAAAATTAAGATAACACAAAAAATTAAGAAAGTAATTTAGATTTATTACAAGTAAATGTACAGAAAACTGAACAGCCTTTTAAGATGGCATATTCCTTGTTGACAACACTGGAGAAATAATAACACATACAGTCCAGATGCACTGACTGGAAAGCTTAAGGCTTGAAAACCAAATGGATCAAAATTTCCTTAGTAGCATGCTACATGTTATTTTGCTCCACCGTGTCTTAAAGCCTTAATCCACATTGCAGACTGTTTACGACTGGAACACTGTGTGAGTTTTTGTCAGCTGTTGGGTCATTACAGTTTTGAAACTTAATATCTTTGTCTGTGTGTGCATGTGTTTGCGTGTGTGTTTCCCCTTTGCCCAGAATCTGCCTTGTGGAGGAGCGAGGCTTTGAGCTTCTGTAAAGAGGGTCTGCGCTCGCCTCTCACCACTCTGCCCTCTGAAGCTCTGCAGACAGAAGCTCTCAAGCTTTTCAAGGTCGGTCTCTCCACCTCTCACCCCTGTTTCTCTCGCTGTCTCTTCTGTTTCTTTTGGTTCATCCTACTTACTTTTGATTTTCCTCTTCCTTTCATCCCTTTCTCTGAATCCGTCTCTCTCTTTGTCTGCCTCCCTCCCAGTCCTGTTCAAGGCATCACCCATCTGACTCCATTTTGTTCCAATCATATCCCCCTCTTTATATCTGGCTATGTGTTCCTCTTCTCTTTCTTCCTGCCTTTAAACTGGATCAAAGCCTCAAGGACAAGGGGCCCAGCTCATTAAACATGTGGAAGAGAGATAATGGCCTTGATTATCTGCTCTGATTGAGGCTAAGCATTCCTCTGGTTTGGTGTGAAAGGAGCCCCCTTTATAAGAGGAGACACGGGAGGTGAGGGCCTTCAGAGAGTGACAGCAATGGATGTGAATGCCACGAGATGGGGGAGGAGAAATTGGGATTGGGGACCTTGTAGGAAGATGGCAGGTCTTTTTCCTCTCCCCCTCACCCTGCCTGACTCGCTCTTCACAGCCTCATCCTCTGCAGTAGGATTGATAGCTGAATGGACTGGCTCTCTCTTTGACCAGCCAGCCTTAAAAACAGTCTCAAACACACACAAAGCAACAGGATGAATGGAGGTGACACGCTTTCTATGCTCTACTTCATGTCTTTGAAGCATTAATGAATCTGACAAGACTGATGATGATCTGTTAAATTGGTTCTTTGTCTCCAGTCATCACAGTGAAACAGAACAAAATAATGATATTCACATTTCTTCCCTCATGCTGTGATATTTTTGTTGTTTTATATCTGACCTGAATATCGGCATCAGCCAGTGTTCTATTTATTTTGCTATTCATCCAGTGAAAATGTACAGCTACTACTATGTTTGGAGTTTTGCATGTGTGTGCGTGCCTCCACCTGCTGGTAGTTCAGTGGGATTAAATATCAGACTCTCCTCCTCTGCAGTCCTGTCAGCTCTTCATCAATGTGCTGCTTGAGTCTCCATCTGTCGATTACCACACCTCACTGGCCCAGAATGCTTTGCAAGTGTGCCTGACCCATCCAGAGCTGCAGAATGAAATGTACTGTCAGCTTATCAAACAGACCAACTGCCGGACGCTGCACAATTACTCCCTCACACAGGTCAGCCTGGTGCATGCTAAAGGCACAACAGAAACATGTTGAGAGTTTTATTTGCAAAATACAGTAGTAGTAGTTTTCAGTGGTCCTGTTATTAATGAGGAAGTTAATGTATGTCTCTCTCTTCCATCGCTTTCTGTAGTGCTGGCAGCTGTTGTCTCTGTGTGTTGCTCTGTTCCTTCCTCAACAACATTTCCTCTGGTACCTGAGACAGTACCTGCAACGCAACGCTGATCCAAGGTGAGCTCCCTCACACATGCTGCTGACCCCTGATTTGATTAAAATATGGTCAAAAGTAACTACAGCCTGCTTTAGGAAGTTTTTTTTGGTATTGTTCTCATCTATATGTCTCATTTTTTCCACACAGGAGTGAGGTGGGGCAGTATGCCGTGTACTGTCAGAGGTCAGTGGAGCGAACACTGCAGAACGGAGAGCGAGAGGCCAAACCTTCACGCATGGAGATTATCTCCATCCTGCTGAGGAACCCCTACCACCATTCGCTGCCATTCAGCATCCCAGTTCACTTCATGAACAACACCTATCAGGTAACACATAGCTACATCCTGTTTGCAGATGTCTCACTTCGACAGATTCAAACACGTTTCTGCTAAAGCTGCATCATTGACCTCATCTTGTCTATTAACAAGCAGATGAGCCAAACTAAAAACTCAAAGTACAAATCAAATACATTTTTTCCAGAGGCCACTTCACACGTGGTTATTTTTCTGGTGAGTTTGTTCATAATAAGTTATTTGATGCTATAAAAAGGGGGGTATTTCAGATGATTTGACAGCTTTGATTGATGGTCTGATATGTCACTGAGCTACTCAGTCGCTACTGCACATTTTCTGGTCGCGTAATGCCACGATGACTGTATTCATGATACTTTGGCTTCACTTTTGCATAGAGGAGGGAAGTGGTGACACATCGTCTCTCTTTATATACAGTATATATGTCCCTGTTCTGCAGCTGTACAGTAACATCACTCTTTGTCTTTTGTTTTCTCATGTACTGTAGGTGGTGGGTTTTGATGGCTCCACCACAGTGGAAGAGTTCCTCCACACACTCAACCAAAGGATTGGCATGAGGAAACCTCAGCTATCTGGGTTCGCCCTCTTCACTGATGATCCATCTGGCAAGGACCTGGAGCACTGCCTGCAGCCATCTGCCAAGGTAGGACTGAGTTTGTGAGCATAAAACACTCCACACAGCACTGAGGTCATTTGCTTTCTGTGGTGTATCCAGCCAAATCATTTGTCTCACGTTACCTAATAATTTAGAGGATCAGCAGTGAGTAGTTCAGGACAAATTTGACAAATTAGAGCTGTCCAAACTTTTTGTGAGTTTTTGATTTTCAGATGTAGCCATGTTCCCTTGTAATTTAATTCCACTCAATCAAGATAAAAGTACTGTAGTTCTTCCACTTCATTTTCATTATGGTTGCTGAAACCGTTCCAGAAGCCCATCAAAGACAGTAGTGAATGGTCTACATTTATAACTGTCTGGCTCATACAGTTGGGAACAGATCAGTCTTTGCCCCCTCCTGATGGAACCAAAAATAAGATAAAAGCTTCCATATGTTTAACTTGAGACTGATTGTATCTCTTATGCCAGATCTGTGATGTCATTTCCAAATGGGAACAGGCTTTAAAGGAGTTACATCCTGGGAAAAATGAGGGGACACGGATTGTTCGACTAACGTACAAGAGCAGGTAGGATTTCACTCACACACACACACTCACACATACTGTATCTTTGTTATGTAATATGTGTTCTGCCACTGTCAAATTGAAAGGAAGTGTGCCCAATCCTAGCAATTACCAGAAAAACACATTTCTTATGCATGTACAGACTCTGTTTCAGGTCTCAGTTGAAAGGAGAGACCGAGCGAGAGCGCCTCCTGCTGGCGTACCAGGTGAATGATGAAGTGGTGCAGGGTCACTTCCCTGTCAACAAAGAACTAGCACTTGAGGTGGCTGCTCTGATGGCACAGGTTTGTAAAGCTGAGGTCAAGATGCAATATAAATTGAAATGAAAGTTACTGATCTAAAAAGATTTGTGTTTTGAATTACACAAGCCTTGTATTGTCATTAACAATGCCGTAGTTTATTAATTAAATTGATGTTTCTAAGACTTCTTTGGGTTCTTCGATCTAGGTTGAACATGGTGATTTGGAGCGACCAGCTGCCTCTTCTCCTACAGGCTCTCTTCAGCCTAAATCTCAGCTGATTCTCCTGCAGGCCTTGGAGCGATTCTACCCTAAACGTTACAAACAGGACTGCAGCCCAGAGCAGCTTAGGTAAAACAAACACAACTGCTGCTGCTCAGATAAATACATCAGTTCCCATTTTTTACCTTGAACTGGAGAACGTGATGTTCTCATACTGATGCATTAACAGTATTTTGCAACACGTCTGACAAACACTATAATGGCACTTTGCCAAACACTGCTCTATGACTTTGTTCCTTCCAGACCAAACCAGTAGGAGCTTAATATTGTGAATTTGCTACAGATTTAACCAGCGTCTCTTTTCCTCTTGCAGAGGTCTTACCGAGTGTCTGGCCACCAAGTGGTCTATGCTACGTGGCTGCACTGCATCTGAGTGTGTGAGAATATACCTAACTGTGGCTCGGAAATGGCCCCTATTTGGAGCCAAACTCTTCAGTGCCAAGGTACAAAAATGTTTACACAGTTTGCTTCGCTCCTTGTTTAATGTTGTGCCTTTTGTGATAATCCTCTACTTAGTAAAAACAGGATTTGCTTCTTTTATCAGAAGTAAAAGTACACGTTTGATTTGTCTTGAACCCTGATGTAGCCATCCATCCTGCTTGTAAGCACAGGCCCGACCAGTTTCACACTTGGAGGAAGACCCAGTGAAGAGGCTGTAATGTTTACTAGTTTGGATTACACCCGTAACATGACCTTTCTTTGTTTCTCCTGTCCGCAGCCTGTCCCCCCTTCTCCTGTTGAGCAGAGCCAGGTGTGGCTGGCAATCAGTGAGGATGGACTGTGTGTACTGGACTACACAATGGTGAATTTCAAAATGCTTACTATGAACCATCTCTGTTCTGAGTTGTTGTATAAAACATGGAAAACGAATATGATGTAACATTTATTTGAACCGTATAATTTAAAACATTGCTTCTTTTTAACATTTACTTCAGTTTGAATGACTCCTTTTAACAACTGCAGAGCTCAGCTGGATATGCCACAGCTTTAAGTTTTACTGCCCCGCTGGTCTGGGATAATTTTTATTTTGTGGTGTTTCAAACACCAGAAATCCACAGGAAAATAAAGCCTCCAGTTTGACATCCCAGCCCCTGACAGACAGCAGTTCCACCATGTAAAAGAGGTTGAAGTGAGCTCTGTAATTTTCAGCAGCCAATGTTGATCCATCTCATTCTAGGCCTGGCAGGCTGTTTTTGCTCGTGTGCTCCCAGTAAGTCAGAGGAAAAAAAAAAACAAAGAGAAAATTCCAATAAGTCCCTGGAAATGATGTTATGCTTCTCCACACTCAATTTCCCCCTCAAAAAAGCAGAAACCAAAATGATTTCCCAAATGAATTCCAAGCTCTATTCTGGGATCAGCAATAATATCTGAACATGCTCCTTGTTTATATCCGTTTCACCGCACGTGTCACACTACTTTCATTTTTCAGCACATGCTGGTCACATACCCCTACCAGTCTGTGATTACCTTTGGCGGTTGCCGTGACGATTTTATGGTGGTGACGAGCCAGCAGAAGGAGCTGGGAGTTGGGAAGAAGAGCGTGGAGAAGCTGGTCTTTGCAATGGCTAAACCAAAGGTATGTGTGTCTCAGCACAGCTCCTCGGCGTGGGTGGTTTGTGGGTGTTCAAAAGCTCAGTCAGGTTTTCTGTTTGGCCCCACATGTGAGCTTGTCACCTGCCATTTGTTAGATGATCTAAAGCAGTGGTTACCAACCAGGGGGATAATTGTTCCTCAGTGCAATAGTTCTGCAAAGGATGTAGGATAACTGTGGATTAGTTGAACTAATTAGAAACAATTGAAAATATATGAAGTGCAATAAAAAGTACAATATTTGCAATATTAGCAACGTAGTGGTTAGCGCTGTCGCCTCACAGCAAGCAGGTTCCCGGTTCGAGCCCTGGCCAACCCAGGGCTCAAAGTCAGCTGAAATAGACTCCAGTCCACTCCACCCCCCACTCCCCCATTCAGGAATAAGCGGTATAGATAATGGGTGGATGGATGTAGTGGAGTCCAAACAGGAAGTAGCAGAAAACTACCTGAAAATTGAACTTAGGTACAGTACTTGAGTAGACCTATTTAGTTACTTTCCACCACTGCAGTATTGTAAAACTTATACCAATTCTATGAAAAAGGTATGAAGCATGAAACAACAGTGGGGAGAGATGTCCGTGGTTTTCTCACACTTGACTGATTGCACTTCTGTTTCTTCTTCTTATCAGGTTTGTGTCAAGCTCAGCTATATGGAAAGTTCTGATTGGCTATGATAGAGAAGCATGAGACTGCACGACAAACTTAACTCTCCACTCTCTTGGAGATTCTGTGTTGAATCGTTTATTCAGAGATTCCACCACACAGGTCAGGTGGTGTTGATGAGCCTCTGATTTTATCTGTGGGGGTAGAGCATCAGCAGCTGATGTGTAAAGGAAAGGGATGGACACGTGTTCACGGTGTTGAAGTGCTGTGAGGGAGCTGTGAAGATAAGAGAGGGACCGGACCCCTGACTTATCCATATTCACCTGTTTGGGCACAGCTGAGAGCTAGTGGAGAAAACAGGTTGTTTCTGTGGTGCTTTAACACAGAGTCCTGTTACTACTGTAGGTAAAGCTACACCGGGTCTCCAGCTCCCCACAGTGTTATGAAACACAGTGTTAAAGCCAGCTCTGGTCTACCCTGTTTGTTTCCTCCTTTCAGATACTGGAGCTGACTCTGCTCATGGCCAGCTACATTAACCACTGGAACCCCAGCCAGCCGTCGGCCTCACACCAGCCCCTCAGCCACTGGGACATGGAAGGCAGCCACTTCCCCTTGATGAACTACACCACCAAGGGCCCCACACTACTGTGAACTGTGCAAATAAGAACAACAAAGACTGTTGGGAAGTTTGATGACAGCAGTCACCTTTAGTCCACATCCATCTGGACTGTTATATCCTTACAGAACAGATACTAGGAGGATATTTTTTAAGTGTCTTCTGAAGATTTAAATTTAGAAACACTAAGTTCAGTCTTGAACGTCTGTGTGTACAACAAAAGAGTGTTTCAACTCTGCTTAAATTAGATGTAAGATCATGTTCTCAATCATTACTGCCTGGCATGTGGCTCAAATCCTCTGAGGTACTGTGTAACAAGAACCAATATGATCTGCGATGCCACAGATCCATAGGTTTTTGTGTTTTTATTTAGTATAATACATATCTAATATTACTGTAATGTAGGGCCGCAAGTAACACTTACCTTTATCAATCTGATCATTATGTTTTCATTTAATCTATCAATCCTTTGGTGCATAAAACGTCTGAATACAATAGTAATAAAACATCCTTGCCTCTTATTTTTGAGGCTTAAGGACGAAGTGAGAGTCAAAACAAGCTCAGGCAGTATCCTCTCCTCTTCTCGTCTGTAAACATGAGGCCTGAAGATGGCAGCATGGGCTGGGGGGGGTTAATACACCAGGGTGAAAACACTTAATTTATTTGAATTTGTGCTAAACCTAGTTAATGCAGCTTTAAATTTTCATGATTGAATTGGTGGGCCCAGTGAAGTTTTGGCATTTCTTTAATACCTCGATAGATCACTAGTTCATTTTGTGTTCATTGACTAATCACTTAATCACTACCTTAATACAATTGGGTTTTTTTGTTATAAAACAGGAGGTAGGGCTCCTTATTCCCAAAGTAATTAAGGTCAAATTTAATGTTTTTAGTGAAAAGGTCAGTGTCCTATTAATGTAACATTACTGGCAAGCAATAAGACAATGGGATAGAAAAGGTATAAAACTGTGATATACTTTACAGTATGTTTAATGCATCTGTGAAATTTTAGCTGTTTTTCTGTTCATTTCTCATGATTCCCTAATGAGTAAGTCGGGTCTTTTAATAACCAGCTGCCTAACAAAGACGAGAGGACAATTAAAAACAAAGTGCTACCAAAATATCTTAATGACTTGAACTGTTTTGGATCAAACCACTGTCTTGCTCGTGTCCTTATGAGTTATTTATTTTTTTCCATGATTTTTTAGCTTTTGCTTAAAAGATGTTTTTCACAACTGTCACCTAGAAGTACAGTTTTCTTTATGTAGCAGAGTAATTTAAGGTATGTTTTGTTTGCTGAAACTGTATTAAAATGAGTTACAAAAGTCTTTATGATGTCGCCTGTATGTGTGTGTAGTAAAAGAAATATGGTACAGTCTTGTTAGATTGCTTCATTTATTGTTTTATCTCTTCTTTTCCTTATTTTAATTGCATATTCCAGAATAGACTTTCATTCATCAGCAACAGAGTAGGTGATTCTGTTACAAGCAAAAATCCAGCATTCAAAATACAGAAGTAATATAAGTAAACGTAGACATTAGGCAGAACTGCCCCTATATTATCATGTTACAGGAATACAGTTACTGAAGCTTTAACACATAAGCAGCTGGTCATGGCGGTGCTCATTTCAGCTACTTTACAGTTATTTCATTTATATGCAACACATTTTATTTTTTTAAATTCATGTTTCACTGTTAACACAGCACTTTCCAACCCTGCAGTAACCCTTATTCTAATGTAGCTAAACTCATATCAAAAGCATGCTGTCAAAAGAAGACATACAGTCAATGTCTAACACATTCAGTGACACACATCACGTTAGGCTTCTTCTATTTACTCAAAAGCATGAGTTCAGCATTAAATGTGGCCAGATCAGAGGGGGGGAGGGAGGGAGGGGGGGGGCTACGTTAATTCATTGCACATTAGCCTAGCCTAATTTAGTCTGTTAGCACTCGGAGATATGTCGCTGCTGCTCCAGCTTCCCGAAGAAAACTGAGCCGACTGTGGTAAAAGATACAACCGATTGCACATAGCAGGAAGCAGACAGGTTGGTCGGCAGCATGAGGTTGCACTGCCACATGAGAGCCCCATTTACAGCGAGCTAAACGCAGGAAGCTTCTAACAGCCCGTCTCATTTTGTTTTAGCATCGATTAGCCATCTACTAGCCGTTCACGAAGATTCAGAAGCTGCCAGCTACTGCTCGCCGTAAAATGACAACCAAAAAGCCGCGGAGCATGATCCGGGAGGCCTCTCATCAGATCATTGCCGGTGGATCCGCGGGTAAGTCCAACAGCTGTTTCACTGCAGCTGTTTCTAAAGACTAAGTTAGACCACGCAACAGTTTTCAGAGCATGCATGCTGCTAAATGTGTGTAACCAAATGGGTTAACCAGTTACCCCCACAACGTGGCGCCTTCCCAGTGCCTGTCCCTCAAACCGGGAAAAAATGTTTGTGGTTATAATCGGACATGCGTAGCTAATTGCACCAGAATAAATTGTCTACCGCGGAAGGTCTTTGGCTCACCTAACCAAAGATTATACATATGTTACCAAGATAGTACTCACCCCTCTCACATACGGGGTCGCTTCTGAACATGGACCCAGCTGTCTCTGTATGGTTTGTGTTTTTGAACGCGTCAGATAACTGTGTCTATTCACACAACTGAGTGTATATTTGACCTGTCCAGGGCTGTACCCCGCCTCTCACCCAGTGTCAGCTGGGATAGGCTACAGCTCCCCCGACTCTGTTCAAGAATAAGCGGCATAGATGATGGATGGATGGAGTGCGTATTTACCTGTGTTCCACACTCCAGCCCAGCAGGTGGCGGTAATGCACCTTAAGATGGCTTGCAAGCCGTCAATAAACGCCATAAGAAAAAGAAGCAGAAGAAGTTTACCTGTAGCGTACATGGAGGGTGTAAGGCACAGAGGGTTAGGGGTTCTAATATATTCACTAGGGCGTTGGTGTTGTTGTAATATTGCTGTCGGCCACCGGTGGCAGCACTGAGCACACAGTAGCACTCAGATCAGTCAGAGAAAAAGAAACTGCCGCCATATGGTTTGGACCTGAGCTGCTGACGTAAAACTCACCTGGGATTAATTTTGTTTTAATTTCAATTGTCTCATACGCCGTCAAAGGCTTTTCTATCATTTGGTGAGTTTGTATTTTCAATATTCTTCCTCCAGCGACTTTTGTGACAGACTGAAAAGTAATAATTGGCAAAGGTAATAGTTGTGCTAGCTTAACCTTAATACGCCAGCTAAATGTTTTTTGACGTTATTTTTGATATATTGGTTTTACTGACAAGCCTTCGGGTGTATATGTTAAAAAAAAACTTTCTAACTAATGAATTTAGATAAACATTTGTGTAAGCCGCAATAGTGCAAACAAGCAAACAGTGTGGTGTCTGAAGACGACTTTTGTTCTATAGCTTATAGCATATGGTGTCCGAACCCAACATTATTTCTAAACTTCTGTCCAACCCCCCTGAGCCCGCGGTTACCCGGGTTCCATTCGGTTTCGGTTCGAGTATCCACACTCAACCAATTATGCAGCAAAGAGTAAGTTAATAACGAATTCGTCGGGCTTCATTTCCCCAAATGTACACATGTAGCAGTTATAGGCAGCTCCTCATACAGGGACTCCAGTTGTAAACCCCTCTCTTAAATGAAATGTAAAAAAATGTGGCTTTTTTTTTTTTTAACACCTGTCTAGATGGAGACTGACTCCAGGCAGAAAACACACTGTGCCTAAACAGGAAGTGGACAGAAGTGAACCCTCTTGGTCTGCTTTATTCTGTTAACCTTTGCTCCTCCAATAAACCCTTCATGAACGTGATAAAGTTGTTTTAAAGTGGTATTGATTCAAGTGTATGGTCGTTTTGTCGGACAGCTTGTTGTGCTGTTGAACTTTACCTTGTCATACAGAGAGATGTTTCTTTCAAGTCTTTGCTAGCATTGCCTGTCAGTTTAACATAAACCAGTTCAACAGCAACACAAACTGCAGCCTACATAATGGTCACAAAATTAAATCTGCATCTCTGTAAAACTGGTTCAACATAACCTGAACATTATCACCTTCATGAAAGGAGGATTTATTAGTTTGTAATAAACTGCCAGCTGAGTGTGTTCCCCCAGTGTAGTCTGCATTACTACCATAATCTTAAGACAAATGATGACTCAGTACACAATACCAAGCGAGAAAAGGATTTTGCCACAATTCACTTGTCTCATTTTAAATATCAGCATGTCACACATGTTGTAATGCACAGGTAAATTACCTGCAGAGTGAGGTGTAGGCAGTGTACTGAAAATATGTGTGGGTGCATTATTTTATCTTGTGTTTTATTGTTATGTTTACCTTGTGTCCATCCCATATAAAAACTTGGTTTCAGTGTATTAACCATGCACTGCCAACTGTACAAGGGTGTTGATTGCATGTGAACACAACTAGTAAATTCTCCTTTATGTAAAACTCCTGTCCTCCTTGCAACATACGAACACATTGAACAAAATAAACTTTAAGTCTATATTTCTAAAATGCAGGAGTGTTCATTTTGCTTGTTGGATATAGGGCACATAGGCATTTTGGACACGTAGCTTGTTGAAGACTGCTGTTGTCATAGGTTCTGCAGGTGCTGGGAGGTCACTGGTTTGAGCTTTTGCACTGGTAGTCATAGCAAATAATTTACCCTTCAAAAATGGCTACTGTGAAATTTTATCCCAGTCCTAAGATAAACTGACCAACGGTTCAGGATTGTGGTTGTGTGTTAATTTGTGGAGTGAATGTGATACAAGAAAGGGCTGAGAAGAAGTGCTGCTGCTCAGTGAAAGCCCTTTGAATTTATATTTTGTAATAAACCTACAAAATCATTCTGGTAACGGTTTCTTCTAGTTTGTCTTCTAAAAGCCTCTTAATGCTGTTGTGACAGTTGTGACAGCACTGCATCTTTTGTCGTCCTTGGTTCAAGGGCTGCTTCATACAGCATGTTATTGTTGCTGCAGTTCATGTGGTCACTGATAGAACCACTAGTATACAGCCAGTAGAAACGTTTATGACCCCAGTACTAAAGTGTCAGTTTGTCTTTCATGCTTTTGGTTAGTGGTGTAATATATTTACGACTCCCAACAAGTCATACAGTGTAAAACATTTCTAAGCAGACAGTTTTTGAATTATGTTCCAGATGTTTTACAGCCAAATGGTTGCTGCCCCGTGGCTCTAAATGTCCAATTTTTACCTCATTCTCTCCAACAGTTTGCTCACTTACAAAGCTCTTCTTGAGAAGGGACCAGTGGTGGTTGACAATAAGCAGCGTGTTCTGGGCCTTTACAGTTGTTCGTGCATGAGCAGGAGGCAGAAATAAGAGATAATGGGCTGAAAATCTAACTTTTAGACCCAGGGTTTGGCAGCTCAGTTGTGAATTACACAGCGGCAAGGATAATGACCATCTTAATGCTGTTCTCACAAACAGTGAGCTAATTATGGAGTGCTTGGGGATGTCTCAGGTGATGTTTTGTTTAGGAGTAATATGGTGTCATGTCTGTCATCGCTGCTTGTCAGTCACTGTTTACAAGCCCCCTGGGTCTTACAACCTGCTGCCCTGAACCCATGTCCAGCAGCTGAGGGGCTCTTGTCTGTCCTCACCAAGGATGATGGGAGTGTGCAGGAGATGGGGCTTTTACTCTTTTCACCTCCACTTTGAATGTTTAGAGGAAGGAAAGAGAAGCAGAGAATTCATTTTTGTGTAACCTGGTCATAAAGCTTAAAGCTGTGTAAACTGACTTCTCCCTCTAATTTTCAGCATCTATTAAGTGACCAATCATTTTTTTATGGAAAATGGTGAAACAATGTCAAATATCTGGAAATTCCAGTGAGAAACTTTTCTTTTTCATGTATCATTGCAAGACATATATTTGGATTTTTATTTTTATTTTTTTTTTAGCTCTTGTTCAGACAAAACAGTGCATCAGGTCTCAATACTGTGATCGACATTTCTTGATTATTTTTTGAAGCTTCACAGACTTGACAATTAAATGATGAATTAATCTGCTGGTTTATTGATCATTTATTGCAGCCCATATGTTCTTACCGGCGTATTTCCAATAAGTCGAAATTCCATATGCAGTAATTAATAAAGCAGCCTCTTCATTGTATTCTGTAAGGCAGTTTGGCCCTATGATGAAATTCATATTAGAACAGTCATTCCCATTTTGTCCACAAGGGGGTGGTAGTTGCACGCTGTAGCTCTTCTCGTGGTAAAGGGACATTACAAGTTTTTAGCGGCTAGACTTCAGTCATAGCTTGAATACAGGGACAGATGTGTGTGTGCTCTGCAGCATAGGCAGCTACCAAGTATTTTTGTGTTGGTTTGAAACAAATACACCAGGACATTTTCTTATATTAGGTGAAAAAGGTGGTTAACAAATAGAAGTAAGAGTTAAAAAATTAAATGAGTAGTAAACTTAAAAAAAAGTGAAACTGGAGTCACGTTCTCTGTAATGTCTCCTCTAAGTCCTTTGTTAGTTCCCTGTTTCCCTGCTAGATGTTTTTTTTTTTTTACCTCCATGAGTAAATCGATCCCTCTCCAGCAAATGGACTGGAACGACATGAGACAGACGGCCCGGGTGTGATTACTGCAGCACCCCCTCAGCCTGTCAGAGCCTCGGTCAGCCTCGTCCCACCGGCTTTAAACAGCGGACCTGAAATCAGTCGGGAAAGAACAAATAAAGCCACTTAGTCTAAATGAAGGAGAGGAAGAAAAGAGGACAGGAGGAAATCAAATAAATGAAGTCAAAGTGTGTGCGCGCAATGATAGAGACCATCACTTAGCAGTGAGTGTGCTTTTTTTAATCTGCTAGATTCCCGAGTGGCTCACCAATCACAGCCGAATTAGGCCTAATATTTATTTCCAGAAACAATTGTACGTGTTTCAGTGGGGCTTTGATTGAACTCCCGGCGGACATGTTGTAGACAGATGTTTAGATGACCTCATGTTTGAAGTAATGTTGATTCTGGATGGGGTGCTGCTTGGCCTGCTCCTCAAAATCAGCTCCCATCTCTCTCTCTCTCTTTTGTCTCAGTCTAGGAAGTCAGGCGTCCCTCATATTTAGTCTTCAGTCGTATTTAATGTGCTTTGGCTGGCGTTAAAAAGCGCCCATTTACATTTTTGTTCCATCTTTGACAGACAGATGTCCGTGCGTGGGAGTCTTGAACGGCTGGGTTAAAATGAGCCGTGGCAGTGCTGAAGGATGGCTACTTAACCGGACACATCTGTCACTTGT